CAAATTAACTCTAAACACCTGCAAAAGATTCCTGAGGCTTTTAAAAACTCCCAGCCTGGTTCATTACTCAAAACCAACCAAACCTGTCCAGAAGGCCATCATTGACACCGTCAATCAAAAGGGTGACACAGAAAGACATTTCTGAACCAATAGGCTGTTCCCAGAGTGCTGTATCAAGGCACCTCAGTGGGAAGTCTGTGGGAAGGAAAAAGTGTGGCAGAAAACGCTGCACAACAACAAGAGTTGTCAGTCAGTGGTGGTCTGTGGTGCCGTCAGCTGCTGGTGTTGGTCCACTGTGTTTTATCAAGGCCACTATCAACTCACTTATTAAATCCAGACAATGCAGGTCTGGTACAGATGCAGGTACAGGTAGTTGTAAAATAAATAAAATGTCCCTCCTGTTGCTTTCCTACAGGTTCTGCCTGGTGCCCGGACTACACCCAGACTGGATGCTCATGTTGTTCTTTGCTCACACTCACCTGACTGTGACAGTAACTCTGGGACTGCTGCTCATTCCTAAGGTAAGATCTGGATTTCAACCATGAAGGTTCAGACTAAACAAAAAAAATCTTGATCTCCAGTATCAGATGACTAAATCACATTTCCATGGACTTCACTGTGCAAATTTTATAATCAGTGGTTTATTTCGCATCTTTAGTTGATTTGATTTTCCACCTAGGCTCATTTACTATCATTACCTTAAACTCATTCAGACTGCGTTAAGTGCTCACTGTAACTTAGCTTAAGTGCTCCTGCGGGTGTCTTTTAGGCCGATGGAAAACGTTTATTGGTCCTGCTGTGTGAGAAATGTGCTCTCTGTTCTTTTATTCGGTCCTAATTAGGCTCCTCAGAAGTGTAAGTCAGTTGGAGACCGGAGGATAATTGAGCACAAAGAGAGGACATTATATTTATACAGCATCTGCTCCTGATAGAAGAAAGAAATATTTTTGACTTACTTTGAGCTTGGACAAGTTAAACAAATAAAGATAAATTAAGTTTGAACATAAACTCTGTTTATTTTATTGTAATAATTCACATTTGTGTTTTCGTGTATAAGAATGAAGGAACTACAGAGGTTTGAACAACATAAATGTGATTTAGCTGTACATGGCTTGGATAAATCTATTGAATAAAATGCAGCAAACTGTGGAACACATTAAACAAAACATTTCAATGTAAAACATTAAACTGCAGCACCTGCAGCCTTTGTATTGGGTTTAATCAGAAACTTATTTTCATCAATGTGGAAAACTTTGACTTATTTTTCATGAGTGTTGCCTCCAGCAGTTGGAACAGGAATAAAACATAAAGCAGTGGTATTTATTGACTGCAGGAACCAGTAAAATGGTAATAAAAAACCTCAGGTGCAATCCACATATTTAACAGAAAAATACTGTAGCTTAAGTAAAACAAAAAGTTGTCGGTTAGTACTCAGATAACTCAGCTTTTTCTTTCCCTCACTTATCCACCTGCTTTAGTTCTTGTCTAAAGGCACTCAGGCCAGAGATGATATTGCGACAGAGGCGTACGAGGAGGAGCTGGACATGGGAAGGTCTGGTTCTTACTTCAACAACAGCATCACATCAGCCTGGAGCGAGCACAGCTTGGACCCAGAGGATATACGGGTGAAATATTTGACATAATGATTACATTATTGTTAGTATCAGGCCCAAAACCAGCATTTTTACCAGTACTTGTTAGATACTTTGGACTTATAATGATACTGGGTTAGATACTTCATTAAATGTTACTGTTTATATTTCAAGTGAAAAGTTTGTAAGTTCCATGTTTAGGAAGTTGATACATATATTTTATTGTTTCTATTTATTTATACATTTTGCACTACACACACACACACACACACACACACACACACACACACACAC